TGTGTGTGTGTGTGTGTGTGTGTGTGTGTGTGTGTGTGTGTGTGTGTTGTGAAAATCAGAGGACAGCTTATGGAAGTCAGTTCTCACCTTCTACCTTGTAGAATCAGGGGATTGAACTCAGGAAGTCAGGCTTGGCAGCAAGCACCTTTCTCTACTGAGCCTTGCCAAACTTTCTTGAGTCTTGATCACAAATGTATAAATACACGCCTATTCCAGTGAACTTTTGAAATCTTCTTTTGGTATTTTACCAATTTCAGTATCTGAATTCAGCAGTTGAAAAGTTGTGTTATTTTGGGGGTATCCTGTTACTTTACTTTTTCCAGTTGCTTATGTGTTTTGTGATGAAATTTACACATCTGTTGATTTAGATGACTTGTCTGGTTTTACTTGAAAATCTTACATGGACAGCTTCCTTTTTAGGTTTTAATTTCCAATATCATTCAATGAGGAGAACACAATTACAGTAGATTAACACTGAACTGTAGAAGATAAAGAAATACACTTAAGATTGATTAAAGCCCACTAATACAGCACTGATGACCATAGCCAGAAAATGTGAAAACTCATGTAGAATATGCTATGGAGTTAAATTTTATTTATGATAAATGTGTATATAATACATTAATGAGGTAAAAAAAAAAAAAAGAGAGAGACAGGGAAAAGTAAAGGAGGAGAAGCAAAGTAAAATAAATAAAAAGAAGAAAGGTTGAGAAGTGTTAAGAAGGGAAAAGAGAAAAGAATGAAAAAAATTTCCCAGGAATGAGAGAGTTCAAAATTATCTAAATATATGAAGAGGAATAAAATTGAAAACTATTTTTAAAACAACAACAAAAAAAAAAAAAAACAATAAATACTACTAAAACTATAGACAAAATTCAAAAGATGGAAAGTGTAATGAGAAAGGGGAAAAAGATTATCCACTGATAAAAAAGGTTCATAGACAGAATTAGATGAATATTTGAAGGAGAGAAATAAAACCATTTTTTAAAATACAATGAAATAAAAATACAATCGATACTGTACTAAAGACAAAAAGCTGAGGAGCAGTGAAGCCTTTAAAGGGGGCAAAAAATAATAATAATGTTAATGTTGGAGCAACTTCTTTCTAGGTCCTTGAAAATTAGAAATATCATATGCACAGCATGGGAGAGGTAGGTCACTGGACTTGGACCTTTATCTTTCCTTTAGCTTATATTGCTGTATTATGAACCTGTATTTTACAGTGTCTGATGTCCACCAGCTCTATCTTCAAATGCATTAAGGATATAAGAAGCAACTGCAGTGCTGATCTCTTGTATAGGTCTAGCCTGTTTGTGCATTGGAAGTCTTTTAAATAGTAATCACATTGCTGGAGAGATGCAGCAGTGATTGTAAGGTAGACTTACTAGAACATCCAAGTTTTGAAGCTTATAGCAGTGAATGACAGATAGGTGACTCTAGAGGTTGATGGCCCTGTTGAGTTTAGGCTTAGGGCAGTGGAACTTTGGGATTATTCTCGTTTGATGACTTCTGCTCTTGGCAGCTAAAGGTGGAACTAATTTTCTCTGTGCATATTATTATTTTATCAGAGCCTCCTGCTGCTTGCACTTTTCTGCTTTTCAGCATCTGGCCCTTCTGCTCTCTACAGCCAGACCTCTCTGTCTCTCATCTGGGGTTGTGGCAGGTTAAATTCAGGCTTCCTTTACTGTAATTGTTCCTCATACTGAGGCCCCAGTTTTAGCTCAGTTTCAAATAAACTTAGTTTCAAAGTAACGTGTTGCCTGGCTTCTGTCCTACAAGTCATACAGAGTAACAGTAAAATTCTGGAGAATCCCTGCCTCATCAAAACTCACAACAGTTTTGGGGATTGTGAAGCTGTAGGCTTGTTTTGAAAGTAGGACTCTCATTCTCTTTCACCAGCACCAACCTGGCTTAACTTTTGGAGGTGGCTTCTGTTTCCCCTCCTGCTGCTGAGGAACTTGAGTCACCTACCTTTTTCTCAGTACTTTTCAGTTTTTCTATCACTGGTTTTCAAATTTCTAGTGCTGCCCCTCTGTCTTTTTGAAATATTCTCATTTTTTTAAACTCTGGGTCATTTTCTTCACTGTATCTCACAGAGACGGTTGCTTTTCTGCTTTTCTGTCATCTTACCCAGAAGTCCTCCTGTTTATTGTTCCTCTTGATTATATGCTGAGGATAAGAACCTCTTTTTTTTTTTTCTTTCTTTAGAAGGCACTCTGACCCATTTCATACTTTAAAAACTAGGTTATAAATACTATTTTATATGTTTCCATTTTGATTTCTGGGTATTAAAATGAATCACATTATTCTGAATTTCAGGTTACAGATGTGGACTTTTCAGCCTTGAAGGCAGTAGTGAGGCTTGCAGAGCCATGTATCTATGAATCTAAACTGAGCACTTTTACCTTGGCCAACGTGAAGGAGCTTTTGGACCTCATGGAGTTTCAACTGCCTCTTCAGGAGTTATGGGTGGTGTCGGATGACTCACGTGAATTTCACCAGATGGCACTTGCAATTGAGCATGTCAGGTAGAAAGGGATGTTGATAGAATTAAATGTGGTCAAAACTGTTAATTAAGTGAAATCTTTGTGGTCCTTTCTTTTTTTTCTGTCATGAGGTTTGAATCTAGGTCCTCATGCTAGTAAATACTGAGCCACACATCCATGCCCTAGAAAATCTTTTAAAAATAAAAACAAAAAACTTAATGTCTTAAATTTTCATCTTATAATCACTTCAAACCCATAGAAAAGCTGAAAAAAAATTACATGGAATTATTTTTATCACTACAATTCTTCAAGTGTTGACAAAAGATAAAGGATTTTTAATTTGTTTTTTTATTGATTTAGAAACTGTCTTAAAAGTCATGGATGCTAAGGCTTGTGGTTGGTACATTTTTAATGTAATAGGACAGAAAAATAGATGAAAGGTAAAATAAGGAAAGTTGTATACTACTAGTTAGATTAGTCCACATCATTTTAAGACTGTCTAACAAGAGAAAGTGTTTTCTCATGCTATTTTGTAGGTTCTTAGAGGGCATGTTGTGTCTTTTGTGATTGGTGGTAGACATTATCCTTTAAATGAGATAATGCATCTTTAATATCTAGATTAATGAATACACATTATTTTAAAGTTTTTTATTTTATGTGTATTAGTATTTTGCCTACATCTATAAATGCACCACATGTGTGCCTGGTGACCACGGAGGCATTAGATCCCCTGAAACTAGAGTATAAGGTTGTTGTGAGTTATTATGTGGGTGCTGGGAACTGAAACAAGGGTACTCTGCAAGAGCAGTAAGTGTTCTTAACTGATGAACCATCTCTTAATAAGTATGCTTTTAAAATTATTTTAGATAAATTTACTAAAGAAATTTTGCTTTTAGCTGCTTACAGTGGATATTTATCATGAATATATTTAGTTGGACTTTAAATCTTAATCTGATTTGCTGAGTAAAAGAAAAAATGTATTAGTACTTGTCTCTAGTCAGACTTGCTAATAGATTTGTTCTTTGTTTTGTGTTTGCTTCTTTAAGGTGGGGAATAAAAGTTCAACTCTATTTCAATATAATAGGCACTGATATACACAGTCTTTACTAGTTAGTCCTATTTGTCCGAACAAATTGTCTTTTACAAATAAAATTAAAAGGAAACATATTTGACAAGATACTAAAAATAATAAAATTAGATGTATATTCTTCTAGGAACTGGAAGATTAGGTAATGTGATGTCAGTAATACTTTTGGTGTTTCAAAGTCTAAAAGGTACTTTCTACTTTATATGCCTTTAGTGGCTTAAGCTGAGTCCTCCATAACACCTAGACTCACTATGCTCAGATTGGAGATTTTTGGAATTGAGATTTTTATTTCTAAGCCTTTTGAGTACTCAAAGCAAAACAAAAATAAAACAAGACCACAAAAATTTTAAAAAGTGATTTAGCACCCAGATTTATAAATATATGTGACTAGAAATGGCAATGAATGCTAAATTAGAATTACGTATTGAAATTACTGTCATGTGTTTTGTTTTGTTTTGTTTTTTCATATGGAAAAGTGACATATGAACTTGAGTCTGGAAGGTTAGCTAGTAAAAGAGGACAGGTGCAGGATATTAGTTAGATTAAGATCAGAACACAGTCCTGGGAGACACCAGACTTGACATTTCTGTTGGTCAGAAGGTACAGTGCTTTGTCAGCCAATTAATCAGTTCTATAAAAGAACAGTGGAAAAGCACTGAAGAGTTTTCATTATTTGGAAAATATGATCAGCTTTGTGTTTTAAAAAGTTCATTAGGCTTCTTTTTGTAAAAACAAAAGCAGGAGATACAGTAGGGAGGTCAGCTCAAAGGTTTGGGCAGGGGAACCAAACATAAATGCTTAGACTAGAATGGGGACATTGATAGAACAGGATAGAAACTGAGAAGTAGAGAAGCTGGAACTTGAATATGTAGGAAGGTGGTGTATGTGAGGCTCATTCTGGGTTTCTGCTTTGAAAGAGTAAACTCTGGGGAAGATGCATAGTGAATGATCATAAGTATCTGGTGCTGTATTGGTATAGATAATAGTTTGGGTTAAATATGAAGTTTAAATACATTTAAGAGACAATGGGAGGCATTTGACCAACATGCTGCAAGGAAATCTGAAAGAGTATGAAATTGGGAGGTTGTATGTATGTAGGGGATCTGAAGAAGTGCTTTAAAGATACATGCTAAAAATAAATGACAAATATCCCTGATCTTTTTTAAAAATAATTTATTATTAAGATGCTATGTGATAGAAAAGAGATAATTGAGTTGGGTGGAGATGGAAAACTTTTCCTTTTTGAAGCTGCTTTTCGTGATATTTGTGTTTTCTTTTGCTATATATGTTTGAATTTTCCCATGATACCTTAAAACATCTAGGAAGTTTTAAAGAAAATATGCATGTTGTCCTCCCCTCTAAGATACTGACTTATTGATTTAGAATAAGGATTTTGTTGTTGTTTGTTTGTTTGATATGGACTCACTATGTAACCTGGAACTGACCTGGAACCCAGTGTGTAGATCAAGCTGGCCTCAAACTCACAGATCTACTTGTTTATGCCTCCAAAGTACTGAGATTAAAGGCATGCAACACCCAGCTAGGAGATACAATATACCAGATACAAGTATACCAGGAGACTCCAATGTGTAGCCATGGTTGGGAGCTAATGCTTTATATTAAGTTCCCACATCATCTCTTTTACTGCTTTAATAAAAGCAATAAATTTTATCAGTAAGTCCTAGAAAAGCCATATTGATCTGCCCATTAGACATCACTCATTTGGAAGTCAAATCAACATCTCACCTAAAATACATTTAAAGCACAACTTTTATTTAAACACTAATTTCTTTCTTTACTACCTAAATAAATGACACTGTCATGTGTCGAGTTACTGATGGTCAGTAGATAGTTGTGATACAATGAAAGTTTGCTAGGTCTGGTGACACACTTACAATCCCAGCACTTCTGAGGCAGGAAGATTAGGGGTTCAAAGCTAGCTTGGGCTACAGAACACTGTTCTCTCTCAGAAAACTAAACAGAGAAAAACTAGCCCCACTTAAAACAAACAAGCAGAAAGCAGATCACAGAACAACAATATTACAATAATTTGAAGTTTTACTTTGTATAACCCATGAATGTCAACTGTAGCAAATATCCAACTTTGATATCTCTTATAAAACAATGTGTACTTGATGTGTTGGTAGGTAAGAAATTTCAGCTGTTAAGACATAAAAATTGTTATGACATATAAAACTAAGGTTTTATATCCTGTTATGACAGAATACCCAAACAAAAGCAACTTAGTAGAAAAGGGTTTTTTGATTGGTTGGTTGTTTGGTTTGTTTGTTTGGTTTGTTTGTTTGTTTGTTTGTTTGTTTTTAGCTTAATGCTCCAGAGGAAGTATAGACCAACATAGTAAGGAAGCTAATAGCAGCAGGATGATGCTATCCCCAAACCCCACACAGGCAGGCAGCATGGACGTAGAGAAATAACAACAAATACAGCCATGTTAAAACCTTGTGCTCAGTATTTCCTTTAGCAGGACTCCATCTCCTAAACATTTCCTCACCTCCCTCACTTTCCCAAACATTGTTACCTTCTGGAAACCAAGTGTTTACCCACATAAACCTATGGTGGACATCTCATATTCAAGCCACAACATCTATCTATTCAGCCAACTATTGAATTTTATTGATATTGAGCTTCTTTTCAGGTTTTTTTACAAACACATTTGGAGGAGTTGGGATGAAGAAGAGGAGGATGAGTATGATTATTTTGTCAGATGTGTTGAACCTCGATTGAGATTGTAAGTATTTATTACTGATGTGGTAGACAAACACACGAGAGCTTCATGGGCTGGAAACTGGCATACAAATAGTACAATATGGCAAGTTATTAAATGTTGTGGGAGAAACCAGACACCTGCATCATGTGTGTGTGTACGTGTACACTTGTATTCTGTTTTGTTTTGGGATAGAATCTCTCTATAGCCCAACCTGGCTTTGAACTTATGATTATTCTGCCTTAGTCTCCCAAGTATTATCATAATAGGCTTTTGCCAGCGTGCCTGTCTATATTTATAAACTAAATTTAAAAGAGTTTTAAGAATATCTTGGTTAAAAGCCTGTAAATCTGAATTTTAGGAGCAAGACCAACACAAGGCTTCCTCAAAGGCCCTAAGGAATAAAAGGGGGGTGGGGGATGGGTGGGTGGAGGACAACAGGGAACTTTAGTTCTTTGTCCAGGCCCAGACTTGGCAAGATCCAGTGTATGGCTGGGGCTCTTGGAAACCTGGCTTTCCCCTCTGAGGTGCTGTGGTTATATCAGTCCCAAGGCAACTATGTCTAAGGAATCCTGCATTTTCTTTGCCAACATCATCTGATTTAGTTCTCTGCTGAATTTGACCATTTCCCCTCTGCAAAACGTATATAAGAAGCTCTACTTTTTAATAAACTTGCTTGAAATAAATCATCAGCTTATGCAAGACCTCCTGGTCCCAACTATCTGTCTTCTGTATATCTCACTCCATGCCCTCCCCCTTGACACCTAGCCATTTAGGTATCTTACTTCAGCATGTTCAGTTCACTAAAATTTGACTGAGCTAGTACGTTAAAATTCCTGCATATAAGGGGTGGCGAGATGGTTCATCGGGTAAAGGCGCTTATCATCTGATAATGCAAGCCTAGAAACCTGAGTTCAATCCCCTACACCTTCATGAAAGTAGGAGGGAGCCAACTGTACAAAACTATTGTTTTCTGACCTCACCCCCTCACCCACTCACCCACTTCGCACACTTCACACAGATACACAATATTAAAGAAACCATTAAAAACTTTAAAAAAAAAAAAAGATTACTGAATGTTGTTAAGAGACTGAATATTTTCTGTTTTTGTTTTTGTTTTTTTCTGGTTGCTCTTAAACAGCAATGATTGAATTTTTTACAGATGTGAAATTTAATTGTAGGTGAATATCATATTTGCTCTTTCCCTGAAGAAAAATTGTGTTCTGATTTTATAGTCTGGCATATGTTAACAAGGATTAATTAATATGGTATTTTACATTTCAATGGCAAATGGGAGAACCTAAGGGAATTTTTTGTTTGTTTGGTTGGTTGTTATAGAAAAAATGTGACACTTCATGGAAAAAAATGGAATGATAGAGTGGATTTCAATTTTAAACTTTCAGGTATTATGATATACTTGAAAATCGAGTTCCCTCAGGACTTATTGTTGACTACCACAATCTGTTATCTCAATGTGAAGAGAGTTACAGGAAATTTTTAAATCTCAGAAGCAGTTTGTCAAATTGTAATTCTGATTCTGAGCAGGAAAATATCTCCATGGTGGAAGGGTTAAATTTGTATTCAGAGATTGAACAGCTGAAACAAAAGCTAAAACTAATTGAGAATCCTTTGCTGAGGTATGTGTATTTTTGTTGTTCTTAATTATTTAACATATCATCTTTCTAGTTATCTCAGTGAGAACTAATAGGTCTTTTTTTTTTTTTTTAAGATATGTTTTTGGTTATCAGAAGAACTCTAATATCCAAGCAAAAGGTACTCGTCAAAATGGCCAAAAGGTCACCCATGTGGTTTCCTCCACCATGAAGACAGGTCTACTGTGGTCTCTATTCAGGGACAAGTTTTGTGAGGAGTCTTGCAAAGAAGAAACAGAAATTCAGGTAAAAGAAGTTATTTTTCAAAGTGATTATCTTTTTATTCACTCCAAATTTTCATCAGTTCTACAAAGTGTTTACAGAAACTTTCTGTAGTTGTTTTTATGTGAGATCCAAATCGTAAGAGCACTTTTCTTCAATGATAGCAACACACTTGGCTAAGAGCACTATAAAAACAATACATAAAGACAAAGTTAGGATTAATTTTCAAATGAGACATGAAGACACTTGAAGTAATACTTGAGTGGCTTTAGGGGATATATATTTACAATATGTTGTTGTTTTCTAGTTCCATAGTGATCTGTTGTCTGCTATAAATGCCTGCTATGAGGGTGACACCGTCATTATTTGTCCTGGCCATTATGTGGTTCACGGCACCTGTTCCATAGCGGACTCCATTGAGTTGGAAGGTGAGTATGGAAGATCATCCTTTCATTCTTAATTAGTAAATAAGAGAAGTGCCTTGACACATTAAGGATATTTAAATCATATAAGAAATTGAGCCAGTGTTTGAGCAGTTAAACCAAAGGTGTTTGTATCAGTATGTTGCTAAGATGTTTTTAGGTGCACATTTAAACAAAAAAAAAGACTGTTGTAACAAGCATAGGTCACATAAGATTGGTAGATAGGAAATCTATTTCTAAAACAAAAATATTTTGGGGTGTATATAAATAATTTTATTTGTTAATTATCTTAGAAAGTATCAGGTTTCCTTATGACATTTTTATATATGCTTAGTTTTGATTTAACCTTGCCACAACCTCCTTGTTACCATCTCCTTATTCCCTATCATTGTTTGAACACTTTCATCCCCAATATTCTGCTTCTATTTTCATATCACATGTGTTCTATTATTTCTCACACCTTTCTCTCTTAAGGCCTTTTCTTTCTCTCATTGGTTCTTTTCTAATTCATGACATATGTACGTCCCCTCTCATACAAATACATAAAAATTAAAAAGCTGAGATACACATATAAGAGAGAGAATGAGGTGTTTGTGTTTCTGAATCTGGATTACCTCTCTTAATATTTTCTATTTCCATTTACCTGTGAACTTTATAATTTCATCTATTTTTTAGAACTGAATTGTGTATATACCACAATATATGTATTGTGTATATTTACAATTTTATTATCCATTATCAGTTGATGGATATCCAGTCTGATTCTTTTCTTTTTCATTATGAATGGAACCGAAATAAATACAGAAGAGCAGCTATCTCTTTAGTAGGTTTAGAGAGTTCTTTGAGTATGTCCAGGAGTAGTATAGCAGGATCATGTAAGTTCTATTTTTAGCATTCTGAGAAACTTCTACAATGATTTCCATAGTCCATATTACATTTCCACTAATAGTGGATAAGAATTTCTCCACATCTTCACCAGCAGTTTTTGTCATTCATTTTCTTAGTGAATACTCAGTATTCTTAGAGAATACTCTCTATGGCCATTTTGACTTGTTGTTTTTTTGTTGTTGTTTTGGTTTTGGTTTTTGTTTTTTTTTTAGTATTTTGAATTCTTTTTATGTTCTATATATTAACCATCTGTAGAATATATAGCTGGAAAATATTTTCTACCCTGATTTAACAGGACCCTTTGCTGTACAGAAGCTTTTTAATTTTGTGAGGTCAAATTTATTGATTGTTGGTCTTATCTTCTGAATGCAAGAAGTCCTTATCTTGAAGTCTTCCCTTTTTATTCCTCTAACAGTTTCAGAGTTTTAGGTCTTATGTTTAGATCTTTGATCTGGTTAGGATTGCAGAGTATGTGCATGTGTGTGTGTGTGTATGTAAGACGAGGAGTAAGCATCTAGTTTCATTCTTCTGCATACGTGTATCTTTTTCCAAAAACACTTTATATTTTCTCCAATGAATATATTTAGCATCTTTGTCAAAAATCAAGTGGCTGTAGCTTCATGGGTTTATATCTGGATCTTATATTATGCTCCACTGATGCACACACACCAGCACTATACTGTTTTTGGTAAATGGTGATGCTTTTTTTTCTTACTCAGTATTGCTTTGGTACTTTTTGTTTGTTTGTTTTCTGTTTTTCAATACAGGGTTTCTTTGTCTCCCTGGCTGTCCTGGACTCACTTTGTAGACCAGGCTCACAGCAATCCACCTGCCTCTGCCCCTCTGTGTGCTGGGATTAAAGGCATGTACCACCACACCTGGCTATTAGTACTTTTTTAAAAACTAAAAAAGTTGCTTATTTATTTTCCTTCTGGTTTAATAGTTTCATATGCTATGTATTATGATTTTATTTACCCTCTCTCATTACCTTCTATCATGTTCCTTTTTCACTCGAACTGCTTCTTTCTACATAGGACCCTCATGATACCCACCCCCTCCTCTCCAGCCATCACTAACAGTCATTAGTTCCTCAGCAAAGAATGAGGTCTCATGGACACCTCTTCTATCCATGATGGAAAACTGGGAGGCTCAGTCTTGTATAGGTATCTATAAATGTTGTTTATTTGTAGTTGTAATGGTCATGTCATATTTGGATGGCAGCATTTTGTGATATTCTTTACAATCTTCTGATCCTTAAATCCTTTTTTGCCCTGACTTTTGTGATGTTTCCTGAGCCTTGGATGGTGGTTGATAAAGACCTCAGTTAGTAGTCACTTATTCTCAGCACTTTGACCAGATATGTGGCTACCTCTGCTAAGGGTAAAAACATGTTTAGAAGGCAGTTTGACTACATGTTCGTTTTTGGAGACGGGTAATATGTGCTTCCCTTGGTTCCATGAGCTCTTCAGCCATGTGTAAATTCTCCTGAGGAGCAGGCCCCAAACCACTCACAAAGCAGTTAGTTATTTCCAAAATAGTCATGTTATCTTGTATCAGTGAGCATACCCTGTCTGGCAGGTGTATGTTATCACATGCATAATCTATAGTTGGGTGAGACTGTTGATAAGATTTTTCCCTTAGGAGCCTGGATAGTACCTCCTGTTACTGTGAACCTTAGCCAGCAGAGAGTGAGTTTCTTGCATAGTTCCATCTCTTTTTCTGTTTTCTATAACAAAAGTATGTTGCCCTCAAGTTCTGGTGGGTGACTAAGAACAATGATAATAGCCTATGTTCTTTTGAGAAGTTTCTGATCCACAAGTCATGGGGCAATAACTCACGTGTGGTATCAGGCTCTTGTTTAAAAGCTTTTTTTTTTTTCTTTCTTTTTTAACAGTTTATTCACTTTGTATCCCAGCTGTAGCCCCCTCTCTTGTCCCCTCTCAATCCCACCCACCCTCCCTCCCTTGTCCCCTCTCAATCCCACCCACCCTCCCTCCCTTGTCCCCTCCCATGCCCTTCCTCCAGTCCACTGATAGGGGAAGTCCTCCTCCCCTTCCATCTGATCCTAGCCTATCAGATTAAAAGCTTTTTTTTTATTTCTTTAAGTTATTATTATTATTTTACTTTATAAAGTAATAAGTTTTTATATAACTTTTATATGCTTCCTTAGTTTTGTTTTCCTATCTTCCCTGTACTGCTGTATCCCTGCCCAAACCCTTTAATGCCTAGTCCCACTTTCATGTCCCTGTGTTTTACTACCTCCTCCCTTGGTGTTTCCTCTGTCCATGGACTCTTTCTTTTCTCTATAGGGAATTAAACTTGAATTTAAAAAAAAAATTAAGCTGAGTGTGGTGGCACACACCTTTAATCCTAGCGCTCAAGGATACAGAAGTAGGAGGATTGTTGTGAGTTTAAAGCAGGTCCAGGACAGCCAAAGCTGCACAAAGAAACCGTGTTTCCAAAACTAAAACAAAAAACAAAACAAAACAACATAAATAAATAAATAAATAAGCAAACAGAGAAAACCTGTTTCCAAAAAAACAAATAAATAAAATTTAAGGAATCTAAATTTTGAAGTTATGTATACCAAAAAGAAAATATGAGGTCTCCTTTTCTGGGCCTAGGTTACTGTACTCAGTGTAATATTTTTCATTTCTGTCCATTTTCCTGCAAGTTTCATATCTTCCTTTCTTATGGCTGTTTAGAATTCCTTTGTCTATTCAACTGTTGTTAGACATTTAGATCATCTTAATCTTTTTGTATGTAGGCATTTCTCTTAATTTTTCCTAAGTGTTTTTACTCTCTTCCTTAGGATATGGTCTACCAGATGATATTGTCATAGAAAAGAGGGGCAAAGGCGATACTTTTTTGGATTGCATGGGTATGGATATTAAAATTTCAAGCATAAAATTTATTCAGCGTGATTCTATAGAAGGAATCTTAAGTAAGTATATGGGTGTTCAGTGTATATTTTATTTTGAACTTTGTGTGAAAAGTTGATTTTTATGGAAGATAAAAATTAATGAACTTGAATATATGGAAGGCTGATTAATAACATGTGTATAGCATGAGGACTTAGGAAGCCTCAAAATGAAAAATAACTTAGTTTATTCTTGAAAACTTACAATTTTTCTTTTCTGTTAGTGGTTTGTTGTTTGTTTGTTTGGTTGGTTTTGAGACAGGGTTTCACTCTGAACCTGGCCATCCTGGAACTGATGGCAAATGTCAATCCTGCCTCAACCTCATGAGCCTTAGGTTTATAGATATATTTCACTATACCTAACAGTAGTATAACAGTGTTAAACTGGTGGAACCCTTTAGAGGTGGGACCTAGTAGTAGGCAATTAGTTTACAGAGGTTCTATCCTCAAGAATGGATTAATATAGGTCTTGTAGGAACAGATTAGTTTTGGGGGCATAGGTTCTTCTAAGAGTGAACATGATACGTCTGTATTCTTGCTTCGTTGCTAGTACATGTGCTCCTTCTACATGCAATTCCTTTTCTTATGCCTTGTCCACATTGTAACATAGCAGGGGAGATCTTATCAGATACCATGCTGTTCTGATTTTACAGATACTAGAATCATATATCAGGTCTTTTGTTACAGACACACCAAAAAGACCAAGACATCACTCTACTATTTGTTTTATAGAATACATGTCCACCAGTTTTCAAGGTCCCTTTCTTTTTCCAAGATACCCAGAAAAACCGTTCATTGATATATGTATATCAATAATAATATGAGTATTATGAATCTTTTTTGTAATGAATATATACTCTTCCATTTCTTAGTTTAAGGCATTTTCTTTTTTTTTTTATTTTTTTTTATTTTTTATTTATTTATTTTTTTTTATGTGTGAATGTGGTTACCTACCTACCGTTCTTAGGGAGAGGCAAGTCAGAAAACAATCTTGGGTGTCAGTCATCATTTTCCACCTTGTTAGAGGAAGGGTTTCTTTGTTGTTAACTGCAGTTCATACCAAGGTAGCTGGCCTGGGTCCTTTGAGGTTTCTCCTGTGTATCCACCTCTCATCTCACTATAGGGTCACTGGGACTGCATCTGTGCACTACTATATACTTGGCTGTACCTGAGCTCTGGACATTTAAACTTAGGTGCTAACATTGGCAAGTGCCTTACCCACTGAGCCAGTCACATATTATTAATAATATTGTCTTTAGTTCTTAGAAAATAGCTCAAAATAGGTACGTTATATTTTATATAAAGTAGGTGCTTTATATTTTTTGAGTTTGTAACATGTAACAATTGTAACATGTTAATTTTTGTTTGTGACAAAATTTAAATAGTACCCCTGAAAAATATCCTATTGTCTAATTGTGGTCTAAACCCTCACAAGTTTGTACAAATTTTCTACCTTTCCATTCCGTTTTGGAAATATCAGGTATCTTTACTTTCTTTCTTTTAAAAAATTATTATGTTTACAGTATTCTGTCTGCATGTACACCTACATGCCAGAATAGGGCACCAGATCTCATTTTAGATGGTTGTGAGCCACCATGTGGTTACTGGGAATTGAATTCAGGACCTCTGGGAGAGCAGCCAGTGCGCAATACGTCTGAGCCATCTCTCTAGCCCTTTACGTTCTTTTTTACTTTAATCAACTTTCTATTTTTTCCTTATGGGAACATCCAGGTATTGTATCCTTTATATGAAAATCTTTATTTAATAAAAATCATTCCATCCTTACACCTTTTGCTTACTGGTTTTCTTAATATCATGACACATATGTGCTTAATTATGTTTTTATTACTGTCCATAGCTTGGCATGTTTTTACCCACATGTTGCTTTCAAAATTTATGATGGCTTTTGTTTTAAAGTTGCTGTCAACCTGTTGGCTGCTTTCAGCAAGTTGTTACCATAACACACTCATAAATGCATGCATTATATGTTCATAGACATGAAATAGTATATGACTTAAGATTAAAGCTATTCATTTGCTTAGGTTGTAAAAGCTTGCCCCGACCTGTGGGGCTTCAACGGGGTTCCTAAGGGGAAGATTGGAAGGAATGGGGGAGGGGAGGAACAAGAGACACAGGAATGAAGCCAAGTCTGTTCATCTGATCAAAGCTTCCGTTTATTAGAAATTTTTACCCAACTTATATAGGGAGAGAAGGCAGGAAAGGGGAAAGGTTAATCTACTGCTGCAGGAGACAGGAAGAGTGCTTTCATGGGTTAACTATTGTACCTGCAAGATACCATAAGGATGTTCTCTTAAGATATCTTACGGATGCTCTAACAAACGTATGTCCTCACAATCTACCACCCATGATTTAGGGTCTTAGATAACTCTTTCACTACATAGCTTTAGGTCTCCACTAAATGACCTTTGCTCTCTACTTGGCTTTGGCTTCAGTAAATACCTTTGTCTCCAATAGATAGCTTTGGCTCACTAATTGACTTTGGCTTCCATAGATACCTTTGTCTCTACTAGATAGCTTTGACTTTGGCTTCTGTAGGTAGCTTTGGCTCCTGGCAAAAGCTGATTACATGGAGTTTAAAACAAGTTGGTTACACTGTTCTCTTAAAGGTTAGTACAGTGGTTTGAATGAGGATGGTACCCATTGGATCATATATTTGAATGCTTGTTTCCCAGTTGGACTTTTGGGAAGGATTTGGTGTGGTCTTGTTGGAGAAGGTATGGTACTAGAGATGGAATTTGAGGTTTCAAAATCCTACACTAGGCTGAGTCTCACTCTCTGCATGCTGCCTATTGATCAGGATGTATAAGTCTCAGCTACTTCTCCAGCCCCATGCTTCCCTATCTGACACCATGCTCCTCCCCACTATGATTCTAACCTTCTAACACTGTTATCATCCCCCACACCCACACCCGTGTGCCCATTAAATCCTTTTTTCTTTTAAGAGTTGTGATGTATCTTCACGGCAATAAAACAGTGACCAAGGCAGCAGATTAAACATAAACAGCTACATACACAACAGGATAGGTTAAGTGCATAGTTTTAAATGGTCTCTCCACATATTAACTTGGCTGCAAAGTTCATCAAAAGTATGATGTCTTTTGGGTCAAGAGACGTGTTTATAAAGAGTTATCAGGACATCTAATGTTAGCTGTAAACTGTTTCTGATATTAATATATCACTTGAAATAGCTGAATATTTTTTGTTACAGTCATTCATCATGGCAAGACCACGCTAGAAAACTGTGTACTGCAATGTGAAACGACAGGAGTTACAGTACGCACATCAGCAGAACTTTTTATGAAGAACTCAGATGTATATGGTGCCAAGGTATTGCTTCGTCTCTGGAAAGAAGTAGTTCTTTATTAAGTTTGAAGTCAGTCAGTCACATACGATACCAAGATGTAAATCTATTCTTTCTTCGAGGAGAATCAGACACTAATATCTCCTAGTTATCTAAAGTTTGGGTAGTCATTAAACATAGACCTCTATAGCATTTTATAAATAAGACACTGAGAATAAAAATGATTATCTAATGTTGCCTGTGTCAATCCGAAAAAGTATAGGCAGAGTTTGACAGTGTCTTTCTCAATCACTTTTACATTATTTTTGGAGGTAGAGTTTCTCACTCAATATGGAGCTCAGTTAGTCTGACTGAACAATGAAATCAGGTGATCCTCCTGTCTCTGTTCTCCCCGGACTGGAGGTACAGGTTCACACTGTTGTGTTTGGAATCCAAACATTCCAGGCTTGTGTTGTAGGCACTTTAGTAAACAAACCATTTCTTCAGTTCCATGAATGTGATTTTTGAAAGTAATTAGTTATCAGTAGTTGTTCATCATTGGAGTATTGCTTGATGGCAGTATTGATTATAACTGCCTAATAAAGACAAGCAAAATGGCTCCATGGGTTAGATGCTTGCTGCTAAACCTGAAAACCTGAGTTTGGTCCCTGGGAACCAAAATGATGGAAGGAGAGAATCTGCTCCTACAAATTGTCTTCTGAATTCCACAGGCACATCATGGCACATGTATACACTCATGTTTGTGTGCTCACACATGTCCCCCAAAATAAATAAATGTAAAAGAAGAAAGACGTAATAAAAGTTATCTTTAAAACAGTATGTTTTACATTTATTCCATCTGAAAAACTAAGAAGTGATAGTAATAAACCTTTATAATCTTGTCTTTTTAAAATATTTGTTTGTATGTGAGTGTTTTTCCTGCTGGTACGTTTATCCATTACTTGTGTTCATGGAGGGAGGCCAGAACAGGATGTCGGATCCCCTGGAGCTGGGCTTAAAGATGATTGTGAACTAGGTACTAAGTTACTAGGAATTGAACCCTGGGTCCAGTGGTCTTAACTGCTTAGCTATCTCTCCAGTCCCAGGTCTTGACTTTTTGTAACTATTATCTCATATTTTATAGGGTGCTGGTATAGAAATATATCCTGGAAGTAAGTGTACCCTGACTGACAATGGGATTCATCACTGCAAGGAAGGAATCCTCATTAAGGTAGGTATCAGCTGAAACATTTTTTTTCAAAGGTTATAATTTCACCCAAAAAGTTATATTTATTTTATTCTCGTTTTGTGCTCTGTTATTCTGTAAAGTATAAATAGTATATAAATTTTAATAACACTAATAGTGATTAAAAGTCTTTAGATAATTGTTTGTTATCTTTAGCTCTACAGAAATGACAACAACACACAACTCTGACCTCACTTCTACAACTTACTAATAAGCATGGATTTCCTACTTTTACTTTAGAAATAGCATGGAGAATTTTTGAAGGTAGAGAGTTTATGAAACATGTTTAATAATAAGTCCTTAAGACATTTGTTTTCAATGTCACAGGATTTCCTTGATGAGCATTATGATATTCCCAAAATATCTATGATAAATAACATCATACATAATAATGAAGGTTACGGTGTTGTTTTGGTGAAGCCTACGATTTTCTGTGATCTACAGGAAAATGTCCAAGATGAAGCTGGTGGTATGCTATGTTTAATAATTTAATTAAATTTATGTAAATGCATTTATTAATTGAATAGAAAAGTAGACCTAATTTATCGTATTTCAGCACTAAATTCTCATGAAGACTTTAGTTTTTCTCACTCAAAAATATTGCTGGAAGTCTGGGGAAATATTTCAGCTGGTAGCATGCTTGCCTAACATCCACAAAACTGTTCAGTTTCAACACTTGGAGTTAGAAGCAGGAGAATTGAAGTTCAAGGTCATACTTAATTACAGAGAGTCAGAGATCACTTTTCAAAAAAAAAAATCATTGAATATGCTTGGTCATAGAGAAGCTTGATGAAGCCATTATAGAAGCATAAAAGAAACTTTCAAATTTGACTTGTTCAACTATTCATTCATTTCAGTGTAAGGTCCTTATTTTTGGCTTCTTGTAAGTATAAAACAAAGTGACTTCTATAGATATTTGTGAATGATGGAAGCAGGAAATGAATTTTCCAGGTTGAATGCTGCTTCTGAAGGTTTACTGGAGTTTGCCTTTACTTTTCATTATTAAAAGTACCTCCCTGTCACCACCTTTCCTGGCAGAGAAGGTGAGCACACAATGCAAATTTGTGAACTTCAAGCCATTGTTAATTACTTTTAAATATCAGACACAAAGAAGTCTAAAGTATTGGCATGGCTGTGGATATTTAGGGGCAGTTTAAAGAGTAGGCCTTGTTGTCCTGCAGGAGCCATTTCCCTCAGGACATCGCAGGGTAATATTGAGATGTATGTTGAATAGAATCTTACCTTGAAAGCTCTGGTGGAAGAATCTACTTCCATGGTATAGATTTTAGGACTAAGGTCTCTCTTGGCTGGAATCATTCTGTAGCCCTGCTGATTAAGATACACAGATTCAAGCAAATTTATCATGCTTTCAATCTGAGTTCCTCTTCAACAACCAGCTAGAACAAACTTTTTGATAAAGCCTTAGTCACATTGCTAGATTATAATGCAAAATCTTGTTGATATTTAACAATCATGAGAGTATACTCTTCAGGATGGGAATCATGAGGCCAATCAATTAGCCTATAGATTGGGAGTTAATTTAAGAAAAGTAGGACTATTATATTATTATTTGTATCCTAGCTCATGTAGCTTAGCAGATAGTAAATATCCATGAAAATGTCTGTCCAGTGACTGAAATTTTAGGATGAAGAAGGTAAACAAAGTTTAACATTGGTGACCCTATTAGTCTTATGAAACTTTGCAAGAAGATTCAAGTAGCTACTCATTGAGAGTCTTATAGTAAAGAATTTGTAATATCCAGTTATAAACTCTTGGCAGAAAGTGCTTGAGTCTAACAGACTGTGTTCTATCTCCTTGTTGGTTAGACTATATATTTAACTTTATTATAATTTCTTTCCTTAGACAGTACAGTTCAAAAGACTAGAGAGGCTGATGCCACTGAAGGATTAGATCTGGAAGAAATGCTGCACTGTGTGGCTAGCAAAATGGAGCTTTATACTACAGCTGATTTTTCTGAACAAGCTAAGGGAAACTGTGAAATTATAAATGAACTACTTGCTATTTCCATGCAAAAAGGCCGGATGAAGAAAAGATTGAGTGAACTTGGGATCATACAAGCTAATGACAACATAATGTCACAGGAAATGTTTATTGAAATTATGGGAAACCAGTTTAAGTGGAATGGCAAAGGGAGTTTTGGCACATTTCTTTACTAGCTACAATGATATCACGAGCTCACAAAATATTGTATTTTGAATATGTCCTAAGAATCATGCTGTTTATGTAGTTTGTTTCACGGTTATATATTATATAAAGTGTACTTGATTGATCTTGTATGAAATATGGATTTACTTCTATTTATATGTATTACTTACAAAGCTTATAAGAAATGCACAAAAACATAAAGTATGGTTATAGATGTAGCTTAGTAGTAGAACATTTGTCTAACATGCCCAAGGCCCAATGCCCAAGGTTCAATACCCAGCACTCTTTCCAAAAAATGAAAGTAAACTAATTGGAGATTTCTTATCTAGAAAATCATATTTTCTTACCTGAGACCTCTGTCATGTTAATCTTGCTAGTACTTTTTTTTTTCATTCTTTAAATACACTTTGGTATTGAAAGTGGAAGAGAACGGAGTTGGAAGATGTGAGAATAAGCATGCAGTAGGTGTCATGTACACAGTGCTCTTTAGCTTTTTTGAGATAGGGTCTCTACATACCAGTCACTTTTCAAAAACTTAGTGTGTAAAGCATGCTGGCCTCAGACTCACATTGATCTGCCTGCCTCTGTCTCCTGAGTGCTGGTATTAAAAACACATGGCACCATACCTAGTTTGAGGGTGATACATTTTTATATTGAAATGTATTGTCATCAAAATAGAATTAATAGGTTACAGATATGAAACAAATGCATTCAGAGCCAGTATTTAATATAAATGATTAACAAGAAAGTACCTTATTGTATTCTAATCATTCTTTTCCTCTTTCTCCCTTCCCCAACCTAACCCTATTTAAGAAGCTTCTTTTAAATTGTAATAAATGATAATAATAAAAAAAGATAAAAGAAAAAAAGTTCTTTTATACCTCAGGCTGGTTTAAAACAGTGTAGTCATTAATGTCCTTAAGCTTCTGATATTCTCAGCCTCTACCTCCCAGATGCTAAGATCACTGACTTGGACTATTCCTTGTTTTCTGTGATATTGGAGATTAAAACAACGGCAGCCTTCTGGTCCTAGGTAAGGGTCAGTTTACTCTACCTCTTGTATTAAAGAGTGTTAAAAACACCATTATTATCCTGACAACTCTCACTGCTATTCTGTTCATTTCATTGCCATGAGTATGGAGCTAAAGTCACTGTATACTGCTCTGTGATTGCTGATCATGTCAGGTTCTTCCCTGTGAACTCTGCATTTCTCCTTCAGGGTTGTCCCCTGAGCTTTGGAGGGGGTAATAGGCTTATGATGCTTTTTAACCATTGTGAACTTTGCTGTATTAACATTTACATATTGGCATTTAACCAACCAGTTATGAGTCTTGATTTAAATAACCAAAATTGATAGCAACAGTATTGTGTAGAATTAATCACAAATACTTAGAGGGCAGTTATATAGGCACATTGTGTGTATTAAAATAATAGCAGTTGCTTTGCCCAAAGGTCATAGATCATGGACCTCCTCACAGAGCCTCTTCACCTCCTCACAGGACTCTTGTAGTGAAACTCCCCCACAGCTTTCTATTGTCTTAACATGGTTACTCTTTTCCTTCAGCTGAGTCCACTCAGGAGCCGGCTCTTGAAGGTGCTGAACCATCACCAGAAATTGATATGCTCCATCTAGCCTCCATCTGCCACCTCACCTCCAAGTACCACCCATCCTTGCAAGGTCCTAAGTCTCCAGATAACCCCAGGCTGTAGCCCACATTAGCCATGTCAGCATCACCCAGATGCAGGCCAGAGCCAGAGAACAGCCAAATACCCAAAAGATTCAGACTACTGAAAACCTTGACGTGGAAAAGGTGCAGACCGTATTTGCTATCTAAAGGCTCCTGGGGCTGATAAAACAATGCTGGAGGGTCTCACAGGCTCTTCATGCTTCGAAACACTGAGTCTAGGAAGCACAAGTCCAAGAGCTGCAAGGTAGGCTGCTTGCTAAGAGAAACACGGGCTAGAACTAGAGCCCTCACTTTTGTTCAAAGAGAAAGGGTAGAATCAGTTCCTCCCAAATAATAGGGTCCCAGCCAAGTCAGGCACTCATCAGCAGGAGCGGGTCTTCTCAGTCAACTCCTTGCATTTGCATAAAGCCTCAGTACTTTCTTGTGCAAGTTCTGCAGGTCCATCATCACCTACTTATGCTTCATCTTCAGCATCTCAAGTTCAAAAGTTAGTTTGTGGTGGGCATGGCCACAGGAGCAAAGAACTCCATGAACACAGGCCTCAAGGATCACATGAATTTAGGCTGTGTCTTGGACTACCCCAGCCCACTGGATATCACAACATGAATCCTATCTACTGGGATCTCCTGATGCTTATTAGATTTGTTCTCCAACCCCAGTGCCAGGTAATATAGACTGTCAAGAAGGAGGGAGTCAGGGCTGCAAGAGCTCTTTCAGTAAGACTGGAGGGGTATACTAGCTCTCTAAGAAGGTCCCAGGAGTCTGTGCCACAGGTCTAGGCTTACCTGAACCCTGTGATGACATTTCTCCTGTGTTCAGAACAGGGGTTCTGTTCCTTGTGTTTCTATTGTCACACAGATACCCAGAGCACATAATCAGTATTTCCATGATTGCAATGCAACACCATGATAGCTTTATAAATTCACAGAGATTCCAATGAGTCACCAATGTGAGCATAAAGACCAAGAACAATGATGTTCAAAGTGGGGCCTCAGCAATTGCATCACCTAGAAACTAGACTGGCAAATTCTCAGCCCTGTCATTAATCTTGGACTCACAATATCCAGAGGCAGACACAAAAACACATACACTATAAGGTAGCACATCAGAACTGGCACACAATACACTAGGACAACAAATTTTCAACACAAAAGAGATTTATTACTCCAGAGGGATTAATTACTCCAGCAGGGAGTGAAGGGGCTTCCTCTGAATTTGGTAAAGGCAGAAAGAAAGAAAGCAGCAGATGGTTCTTTTGTTTTGTTTTTGCAAGAACAGGCTTGAAAGGAGAAAGGGTTAGGGTTAACTCACCCTGTGTTAGGGTGAGTTAATAGGACCTGATTAGACAGATTAAACACATACCCAAATAATGAATTTTGATGGCTGGAATTTGGTATTTATTCTCAGTATTCAATCAGTGGTCGAATTAGGGAGTGGGTCAGGGGTTAAGGGTCAGGTTAGGGGTCGGTTCAGTTAGGGTTAGGGTTTTTAGGGTCAGGGGTTAGGGTCAGGATTAGGGGTTTTGGTCAGGGTTAGGGTTGGGGAATTAGGGCTAGGAATAGAGATAAGGCTAGGGCTAGGTTTAGGGATAGGGTTAGGTCTACTGCTAGGGCTAGGGAGAGGGTTAGGTTTAGAGCTTAGGGTTATGGCTAGGGCTGGGGTCAGGGCTAGGGTCATGGTCAGGATTAGGGGTCGGGGTTAGGGGTTACTCTCAGGATCAGGGTTAGGTGGGTTAGGGCTAGAGATAGCAGCTAGGGGTAGGGCTAGGGTTATGGCTAGGGCTGGGGTCAGGGCTAGGGTCATGGTCAGGTTTTGGGTCGAGGTTGGGGTCAGGGTTAGGGTTTAGGGGTAGGTGTTATGGTCAGGGTTATGATCAGGGTTAGGGGATAGGGCCAGGGTCTGGGTCAGGTTTAGGCGTCAGGGTCAGGGGGGTTAGGGTTAGGGATTTGGTTTGTGTTAGGGTTCAGGTTAGGGTTTGGTTTCAGATTGGGATTGGGAGTAGTGCAAGTGTTAGTATAATTTTCTTTTGGAATGCATGCAGTTTATCCTTGTTCATTCAAATGCTGATTTCTCTCCCCCACCATGTGATTTCAATCAGGACATTGCCTTGTGATGCTTAGAATAAGCATCACCTGTCTCAAATTTGTGTAAACATGCCACCATTTGTTCTCTCAATTGTCAATCAAAACAACCAGCCACATAGCAGAGCAATGGAGAGGATAGGGTGGGACATCCTAGTGTGGAATGGGAGGAAGAGGAAGGAAGCAGAGAGAGGGAGGAGGAGAATCTGGAGGAGAGGTATTGGAACCACGTGGAGAGATGGACCGGCCTTCAGATATCACTAAAAGCAAGTATAATGGGTGACTCTGATTGGTAGGAAAGTATTCGGGATTGGAGGTTTAGGGTGGAGTAACTATTGCCCAGCATTATGCTCTAGGTTAATTCAGTAAATCCTAGTCTCTGTGTGGTGATTTGGTTATACAGCTGGTTTAGGAATAACCACAGATTAGCTAAAAGATATATCAATTATAAATATTAATTAACAACAACATGTAAGGAGGAGGCTTAGTGTTAGGGTTCGGGTTACGGTTAGGGTTCAGGTTAGGGTTCTGATTCGGGTTTGGTTAGGCTAGGGTTCTGGTTAAGGTTCGGGTTAGGGTTCGGGTTAGGGTTGGTTAGGGTCAGGGTTCGGGTCAGAGTTCGGGTCAGGGTTCGGGTTACGGTTGGTTAGGGTTAGGGTTCGAGTTAGGGTTCGGGTTAGGGTTGGTTCGGGTTCTGGTTCGGGTTTGGGTTCGGGTTTTGGCTGGGGCTGGGGTTGGGTTAGGGTTAGGGTTAGGGTTAGGGTTAGGAGGGGTTAGGGTCAGGGTCAGGGTCAGGGGGTTAGGGTCAGGGTCAGGGTCAGGGGTTAGGGTCGGGGTCGGGGTCGGGGTCAGGGTCAGGGTCAGGGTCAGGGTTAGAGGGTTAGGGTTAGGGTTAGGGTTAGAGGGTCAGGGTCAGGGTAGGGTCAGGGGTTAGGGTCAGGGTCAGGGTCAGGGGTTAGGGTCAGGGTCAGGGTCAGGGTCAGGGACAGGGTAGGGTTAGGGTTAGGGTTAGGGGTTAGGGGTTAGGG